CGTAATGTGGAGGTCACCCTGAACTCCACAAATGAAAGGTAGTAAAAGAGAATTTTTTAATGAGATTCTTTTTTTTTTTTTTTTTTGATGAGCAGCCAGAGACCCAGCCTCTGGGGAAATGTATCGGGGAGGTACAAAGGAAGGTTTCTGGAGCCTGGCTTACCATTACCAGCTAAAAGCAGCTTTCGGTGTGCTTGGCTTCTGCCTTCTTTCCTATTCTGGATCATCTGCTCCCTCCTCCCACTACCAGCCTCCTCCCTTCTCCCTTCTAGCTGCAATGGGAATAAACCTCAGTCACCCCTCCCCATTCTCCCCACTGCTCTGTGCATGTGGTTTCCTCTTGCCACAGCGTCTTTCACTTCCTATCACAGCCTTGAGAAGAACTGCCCCAACTGCTGCGTTGTTGCTGTTCTACAGCAACAAGAACTTTAAATGAGCCCTGTTACCAGTCAAGAATTTCACCAAGACTCCAGTATGAGGACCCAGGTCAACAAGATGGCAACCAGTACACAAAAGAACTCCATAAAAATGGCCTGCAAAAAAAAAAAAAAAAATGCTAATCCCAGCCCCAAGCCAGTACAGAAACACACCCCAACTCCGAGCCCAGGGCCTGTCTGACAGTGTTGATGAGTGCCAGGTTCAGGAAGACACACCAGGCTGGGGTGGAGATCATCTCTGCAGGAGCATCTTCAGGGCCTGAAACTAAAGCAGGTAATGAGGCCTGAAGTGGTAAAGCAGAGATATCAGGAGACTTAGCTGTAGGACTTGGCAGGAACCATTAGCCTCCCTTCTCCTGTCCTGAGCTGGGTTTGGGTCAGTCCAATCTCTTCTGCACAGGCCTGTGAAATTAGAGAGGGAAGGACAGTAGCTTGTCAAACCAAGGCCACAACCCAGCCCTGCACAGGAACTCTCAGGCCTCCTGGCCCAAAGACAGGGTGGGGCACGCTCCAGACTCCAAGAAAAGGGCTAAAAATGAGGAGTTTCTCTGATACAGAATTGCTATTTTTAAGGCTAACTCTAATAATCTATCATCTTGACTACTAGATTATCCTCCTATGGGATCTTAAAGGCAGGCCCAATGCAGAATCTTCAAGAACTCTGGAGATCTGAAATGATCACAGTAAGTACCCCCAACAGAGACCCAAACACTTTTCTCATCACCTATGGCAGAGATTGGCAAACTTTTATCTTTTATATCTTAAAGGTCAAGAGAGTTAATATTTTAGGCTGTAGGGTCATATGGTCTCTGTTGCAACTACTTAACCACGCCCCTATCACATGAAACCAGCCAAAAACAATTCATAAATAATAAACATGTCTATGTGCCAATAAAACTTTATTTACAAAAATAGGTATCCAATCCATGGGTCATAGTTTGCCAAACCCTGGTCATTGGGAAAACCTGCTCTTCTAGAATTTTCATGCCCCAAAGAAGAGGCCACCATGCACCTAAAGGGCTCTCACCCACTCTGAAGCCAAGGGACTTCATTCCTGCTATTCACTTCCAGAAAACAATGAAGAAAATCTAGGCTGCTTGCTCCAAAGCCTGGCCTGGATCAGCAAGCTAGGCAAAGGTGGAGAAAGTGGTAGACATCAAATCTGAGGGCTTCAGAGCTGGAAAAAACTAGATCCCTAGGACTAGGCATCAAGGCCTGGAAAAGGAAGTGATGTGCCCAAGATCATGTGCTGCCAAAGGTCTCCACATTCTATACTCCTCCAGAGTGATAAATAACCAGGAAGCATATAAACAGTAGGCTGGGGGAGGCCAAGCACCTATGGCACCTCTCTGTAGCACTACTTGGGGCTGAAAGCAAATGGTTCGGCAAAGGTCAAGGAGAATGCCTAGAGAGGTAAGTGTATGTACATATGACTATTTTTCCAACAGTACCTGAACACAGTTACTAGGGAGAAAACAAAAACAAAACCCCAAACTTCAAAAAAGGATGTGGTTAGGTAGCAGATGTGGGTGATCAGCAGAAACTGGTCTAGGAGTCTGGGCAAGCCCCGGGGTAATAAACAAGCACAAGGCATACAGTATCACCCCATTCCCTAAGCCCTGGGATCTACTCCACAGACCTTCTCAGCAACCAAGTACCTTCAAGCTTCGTAATCCAATATCTTCCAAATCTCTTCCCAGAACTGACTTCCATTGCAAACTTTAGTTGCCTGACCATAAACATCTCTGTCCCAATGCCCTGGCCATCATCTTGAAGAGCACATGTCCAAAAGCAAATAAAATAGGATTCCCCCCGTGAAAGTCTGAATGCTAATTTTTCTTTTTCTTCAATCACTGAGGCTCAAAAATTCAGTACCTTGTCTTCCCCATGTCCTATTTCCAAGCCAAAGTGGCTTTCTGTACTACCTCTTCCTCCCCATTCCCACAGGCTCCACCCTAACCCATGACCTCCAATCTGGTAGGTTACCAGTCTCCTGCCTGGGGCCCCGGATTCCACAACACCAGATCTTCCCTCATTTACTCATCCACCTCACATCCACTATGATCCCTTCAAGGTCAAGGTCGAGTGTTACCTACCTTTTGTGTCCCAGCTCCAAAAACCTCATCCAACATGGGTGTGAGGGGAGGATACAATAAATGCTTAATGAATGGTTCCTAGCTTTCACCATGGAGCACTCAAAAAAACTTCAGGGCCTTCCTATTTCCCAAGACTCACAAGCTCTGAAGGCCCTCTAACATCTCACTCACCCTTCCCACCCTCATCTCTTACCATCCCAGAAATAAGATCTTGGCTCCATCAAGCTGATCAATCCCTGATCCTCTTCATGTGCCCATCATTCCTGCATCCACATCTCTGCCCACACTCTGCTCACCCTTCCCTGCAATGACGTCCATGCCCTGCCCCCACTACGCACTCCAACTTCTATGCAACTGCCAGTTACTGAGCTGGGGGTGGGGGATGTAAAAAGGGGGTAGATGATTTAAAAAACAAAATGGGGAAAGAGGAGTATAACAAGGATATGCTGGGGGGTCTCTGATCCCTGGAGGCAACACCCTCCCAATGGTCGCAAATGATTAGAGAACGAAGAGGCGGGAGGAGGAGCCAGATTTTTCCACTGAAGGAAAGGCATGATTTTCATCACTGCTTCTGTTGCCCTGGTAACCAGGGACAGCCCAGTGGAGAGTACAGTAAAAGAACACCATGTTTATCTTTGCTGTCTGATCCACTTCCCTGTACACCCTTCCCTGACCATCCCCTACCCCCTAAGCTTATTCCAAATTTCTTATGATGCCATCAACATCCTTCTGGTCTCTTGCTCAAAACCTCAAAGGCAGAAGTAATTTTTCCCTCTTTTTATCTAAGGCTAAGTACCATGTACTTTTCTACTGCGGCATTCTGGGGGTCATCTCACCACACCCACCTGTCATGCCAGGGGCCCCAAGAACCAAGGATTGGCCTCAAAGCACAAGAATGGCATCCACTCTGCCAGATATTCCCCTGGGCAAGGGAAAATAAATGGGCAAGGTGGTGGTGAAGACTGCCCAGCCAACCCTTCTTTCTCAGGCCCAGACAGCTTGTGTGGAATGGGCCCCGTTCTCCCAGTCCCCCTCCCATGCCTGGGATCAGAAGAAGGAGCCAAGCTGGGGATGGGGGGAGTAGGTCCACCCACAAGCTCTCCCAGATCCTGCCTCCTACATGGACACGGTGTCTGCGTGACCTGAGAACAGAGACAGAGTGCTCGCCCTGGGAGATTATATAAGCGTTATATAACATGGTGGCACCAATAAGCACACAGACGCAGTTATCAAGTGCCAGGGACAGGCCAGGGGTGGAAACAAACGCAAGGGGCTGGAAGAACAGCCCTCTTGCCACCAATGCCAAAGCAATGCCAGGTCCTAGCTGCCCCAGCCCTGTCTATACCTGCTCCTTCCACCCCAGAGGACAGAGAGAGAGACTTGCCTGGCTCTGCATTCTTCTTCCCAAGCTGGGCAGTAGGGAGGGGCTGCAGCACCATCACCACCCTGGCCCTGGCAGCCTCTATCTGGCCTGAGACAGCCTGGCCACCCTTCTGGCAGGGGGGCAGCAAGGGGGTCTTAGGTAGGGGAGGGGTGAGGACAGAGCCCCCTCTTCTGTTCTCCTACCAGAATGTGCTTGTTTGGGGAACAAGGACTGCAGCAGCTCCAGGATTGGCTGGGCCAGCCGTCCCTCGGCTCTGTCATTTGCTGTTTCTCTAAAAAACAAAACAAACCGAAAGGGAAAGGGAAAAACAAATTAAAGCACATTTGGCAAAGGCTAAATCCCAAATTTTGATATAGGGCTGCAAACAAAGCTGGAAGGAGGGGGATACTAAAGAAATTGCCCTTTTTTTCTGCAGCCCCCACCTCCCACCTTCCACCATATCCTGGCAACCTACCACCTATGAAGTAAACCTGGGGAACTGTCCTCAGTCCCCGACCCCCGGCAGCCCCTGTCTAGGTCGCTGCCTCAGTTGCCTGCGCTTCTTCCAAGGCTGGTATTCCCCCTCCCCCTCTGCAGTGAGCTCAGAGTCCGCGGCTCCCTCCGGGACTTGCACGCGGGGCCAGGCGGCGGCCTGGGGCAGTTCAGGGCAGTTTGGGGCCAGATCTTCATCAAACTCCTCCATCATCACCACCACACCCACTTTATTAACATGGGGTGGGGTGGGGGGGAGGTAAGGGGGGGGTGGAACTGAACAGAGACAGAGCCCAGTGGCATCTCCTCCGGTGGCACCTGCCCTCTCCCAAACTATGCCTCTGGCCTTCCCGCCGCCTCCGCCACACGCACCTCCGAGCCCCCTGAAGAAGGGGGAAAAAGAAACACGTATTAATATCACGAGCCCTGGCGCACCATCCCTCGCCCCCTCAACCACCTGTCTCTGCGCTCTCCCTCCCCCACAGCCTTCCTCAACTCCGGGCGCCCCCTCTGCAGCAAAGGGGCACCACGCCCACTGCGGAGCCCAGGAACCCAAGGTGGGAGGGGGCTGGGGCTCACGTGCGGGCCGGGGGCTGCTCACCCACCGCCCAGATGGCCCTGACCCCAGAGTGCGGGGGCCCGCCCGGGCTGCTCCAGGCCGCGATCCACTCCCACACCCTGGAGAGGGGAGCTGCGCTGGGAGACCGAGCTGCAGCGGGGGTGGGGCACGGGCGGGCCCCTGGGCATCGCTTCCTGGGAGCCCACCGTGTCCCAGGACGCTCCGGGACCGCGCTGCAGGCCCGGCCCGCGCTGCCCACTCCCACCCGGCCAAAGCCCGGCTCTTACCTCTGGGGCCGCCACCCTCCCGAGGCACTGCGCAACACCGCTCGCTGCCCGGCAAGCTAACCGCGGCGCGCGGGAGATGCGCAGCAGCTGCGGACGCCGGAGCGGCGGCACCCGCCGCCGCTTCCCGGGCGTGTGAGCTCAGCCCGCCCGCGCGGCCGCGCTTCCCACGCCCGGCGTCCTTCGTGGCGCCACCCAGCGGCCGCGTCCAGCACCGCACGCTCGAGTCCGGGAAAATTCTGCCGCAGCCTCGCCGAAGGATTTGGAAATTCCCAGAATTTGCCAGTAGGTTTGCAGCGGGGCGGGGGTGGGGGATGGGGGGGTGGAGGGGCTTGGGACAGGACGACTCCCACTCACTCTATCCCTGAGTCTTTGCATATCATACTGGTTCCCCCATTGCTCTGACATTTCGTCCTCAAAATACTCTCCCAGTGACCCCTCTTTTAAAATGGGGGTAAAATGACGAGAGCTGGTATTGTAGGTCCTCCGTAAGCCTGCATAGAGATCATAGAGATGAGATCAGAGGTGTGCACTGGGTCATTTGCAGAGCTTATTTAAAAAACAACACAGATGCACCAGCCTACCTGTAAATTCTAATTCAGGAGATTTTAGAGGACTGATTTTCAATCTTTTCTTGGATCTAGACCCTTTTGAGAATAGAAGAGCTGTGAATCCTCTGTTCTTTTGTATTCACATGCATAGGAAACACAATTTTGCATAGAATTTCAGGGAATTCTGAAACTTCTCAAAGCTCTATGACCCCCAGGTTAAAAATTTCCTCTCTGCAGGTATCCACAGATAAGAGACCTAGCTATTGATTCTCTGAATCTGCTTCCACCTTTCCTCCAGCTGTTTCCTCCTCCTGAAATATCTCCAGCAGACCCCAAGCCCACATTTCTGCCTGAAGAAATTCCACTTGTGCTTTCAGGCCAGTACAAAAGCCTCTTCGAGTGCCATCTGTGACCTCTGTTTTCTGGGAGTAAGTATGTTCTTTATGTCTTTTGTCTCTAGTAGATATACATGCACCTGTGGTTATCTGTGTGGTTAGTTGTAAACTCTTTTAAGGTCAATTTCCTCCTCTGCAACAAAGGTATCTTAAATGGTTTGCCCTTGACAAACTGTTCATAAATAATTAAAGAGAAATTGGGTTGAGGGGAACAGGAGGCCCAGGGAGAGGAATGCTTTTGTTTCAGGGGAACCTGTGCCCCTCCTCCTCCCCTGATGGATGCTCCACCAATAACCAACATGTAACTACTTCACTTACATCTCCGTGTCTGAAAAACAGAATTCTCAAATTGGCAAGGTCTTTTTATTTATTCCTTCTCCTCTGGGCAAGGCCACAATTTAGGGTTTCCTGGATGAAGGTGGGATACAAGTTCATGAGAATGCATCTGCCAAATAGCAGCTATTCTGCCGCTAGTATCCATTACTCCAAATAAGGGGTATCAAAACCCACTTGCCATGCCAGAAGTACAGTGGCACATGACAGAAGCAACCAGGATGTCATCCTTGATTGTCCCATCTTACTTCCCTCCCTCCTTGCACATACTAAATTTCAAAGATTGCCCACCTCTGAATTCTCAGCGCACTATCATTTCTCACCTGGATTTCGGCATTTGTCTCCATCCTACCTAGCCTGCCTGCCTCCAGTCTCAACATGCTCAGAGCCAGTCTCCACATCTGCTATGGACTGAATATTTTTGTGCCCTTAAAATGCATATTTGTGTCAGGCATAATGTCACATGCCTATAATCTCATCAGCTCAGGAGGCTGAGGCAGGAAGATCATAAGTTCAAAGCCAACCTCAGTGACTCAGCAAGTCTTTCAGCAACTTAGTGAGACCCAGTCTCAAAATTTTTAAATAAAATAAAATGTGTCTCAGTGGTTGAGCACCCCTGGGTTCAAACCCCAGTACTAAAAAAAAAATTTTTTTAAAAAGCATACTTGTAATCCTAAACCCAAAGTGAGGGTATTAGAAGGTGAGGTAATTAGGTCATGAAGGCAGAGCCCCCAGGAATGGGATTAGAGCCCTTGTAGAAGAGACACAAGCACTTGCTCTCTCTCTTTCTCTCTGCCTTCTGCCTTGTGAGGAAACAAGAAGACAGTTGGCCATTTACACACCAGGAGCAGACCCTCTCCAGAAACAAACCTGCCAGTCCCTCCATCTTGAATTCCCCAGCATCCAGAACTGTGAGAAGTATGTGTCTGTCGTTTAAGTCACCTAAGCAGCTCAGGAGGCTGAAACAGGAGGACCCCAAGATCAAAGCCAGCCTCAGCAATTTAGCAAGACCCTAAGCAACTTAATGAGACCCCATCTCAAAAGGGAAAATAAAAAGGGCTGGGGATAAGGCTCAGTGGTTAAGCACCTCTGGGTTCAATCCCCAGTAACAAATAATAATAACATTAGCCACATCTAAAATGATGTCTGCTTTCCCTGGCACCATAATACTTCTGCAATAGTGTCTTCAATGCTTAGTATCATACCTGGTGTCAGGTGGGAACACACAAATTTTTATTAAATTAATGAAAACTTTGAACATGATACACATTCCAGATAAAAGACTCTGGAGCAATACAGTGGTGTTGCAAGATGCGGTGGGACCAGGTCTACTGCTTTTTAAGAATAGCATCACTCACTTTTAACAAATGAATTTCCATCTTTCTGAGTCTTCCATTTCCTTAACTAAAAAATGGGGATAATAGTACTCAGGGTTGCTTTGAAGCTGGCTGAAGAGATACGTTGCAGTACTTTGCAACTTTAATGTCCTCCATATCTATATGTTAGTCAGTATTGTTGTATTACTTCACTTGATCCTCACGGTAACATTTTGAATAGGCAGCTGACATTTCCCATTTTGCTTATGAGGAAACTAAAGGTGGACAGTAGAAGGCAATTTGCCTAAGGTCATCTAGATAGTTACCAAGAACGGAAGAGGCTTGACACTGGGTTCCAGCATAGGCTCTCTCCACCACATCACCCTTTCTCTTCCCTCCCATCCTTAAAATAGGAAGCAGTGTTGGGACACATATATGTCAACATCCTGAGGATCATGTGCTCAAAAATGTCACTGCTCAGCCTTCTTCTAAAGAGTTTTTCAGTGTGTGAGGTGGGTTGGTGGTGGAAACAGGATAGAAAGGAATGGGCTAGGAAGAATGACCTTGGAGATGACTCTCTACTCCCCACTTCTGCCCCTAATCACACCCTAGTGGGGTGAGCTCAGTCGACAGCCCCTCTGTACCATGTAATTGGACTTCTGCAGGCTCCAAGGTTCCCAGAAGCTGGATATCTGTTTCCTCCCCATGTCCAATTCTGTCCATCAGCAAATATCTACTGAGTTCATATTAAGTGCTCTGTCAGCACCTGCAGAAGTGTGGCCAAATCAACCACCTGGGCCTTGATGTGCCCATTCTGCAAAATGGGGTTAATAGCCTATCATGTGTCTGTTGTGAGACTTGAAAAGGATGACTGATGGCTGTTGGCAGGTTGTTGCTAGTGGAGAAGCCTACTGCAACACCCAGGCCCGATGGCTGCTGTATTTCAAGCCATGGGAACGGGTTATTTGGTGACCAGGTGGTGTCAAAGAGGAGAAGAGGAGCTGGGGAAGTAAAGAAAACAGAATGAAGGCTGAAGTGCTTGCTCCCAGGAATGTGGAGACAGCTTTGGAGGTCAGAGGTCGTTGGAACTGTTCAAGAATGACTTTTGACTTTCTGGGCCCATGTCGAGCCAAGGTAATGAGAGGTTTTCCTGAGATCTTGGTGAACAGGGGGCGTGGACCACAGAGAGCCAAAAACATGACTGTGGGGGCTTAGTTGAAGCCCCTTTTCAGAAGCTCCAGAAATAACTCAAGGGCATCCTGAAAATGTCAGTGATATCATCAGACGAGGCATTTTTACAAATGTGAAGAACGGAAGTGGTGCCCGACACATAGTAGGAGCTTGATGTGTGTGTTCCCTAGGATGTACACATCCGGGCATCAGGTGTTGAGTCTCTTTGCTGCTGGATCTTCCCATAGTGCTGCCTTTGCGTGTTTGTTTCTCAATCTGTCCAGAGCCCCAGGGGACACCCGGTGGAACTGCCCTTCACAAGATCCCCGTGTGTGTGTGTGTGTGTGTGTGTGTGTGTGTGTTTATGGTGACTTTTCTCTTTAAAGATTAAATCGTTTTCCCCCTTTCTGTTCAACAAAGACAACAGCCCTTTGGTTTTTGATAAATGTTCCTTTTCTACTAACAGGTGGATTCGCCCCGGGCACTAAGAGCTGTGCTTTTAAACACACACACAAGCCCAGCTGTTTGAATCTGCTGCTTCAGGTCTGTCTTATTTCCCTTATCTCCTGCCCTGGGGGCTGGGTTTTCTCTGCCTTGGCAGGCTGATAACATGTGGAAGGGAGAGAACCATTCTAATTAATAGACTAATTAGTGATACAAGCCTTTAATAGCTGATTATAGGAAAGTCATTCCCCATCCCCCAAGTGATTGATTTATTTATTGCCGTTGTGCTGCATTATGGTAAAATAGTCAGCTTCTAATTATCTATTGACTGCTCCAGTCAGACCTTTCCCTTCACTTCCTCCTCGTCCTGCCCCTTGCTAATAGTGGGCACAGGCAGAACGGGAGAATTCAAAGGAGCCAGTGAGCAACGGTGGACAGATGTGTTAGGATCTATCAAACACCTATCCTGACAGCTCAGAAGTGAAAAGGGAATGGGAGGTGGGGAAAAGAAGAAAATCCTACCCACCCTTCTAGAATTACTCCCCCATGGTTCCTGCCCCTCTGTATGCCACAACTCACAGGCATTATCAATGGCATTAAAAAAAAAAAAAAAACAGCCTAGTGTGGGACTTAAAAGCCTGCCCTCAAATCCAGCTGCACAGGTTCAAAACTCATCTGTCTTACTGACTTGTGATCTGGGGCAAGTCTTTTCAAACTCACTGTGCTTTAGTTTTCTCATTTGTCAGGTGGAAATATAATTGTTCCTCCCCAGGATTGTGGTGAGGATAAACCATTTGGGGCACTTAGCACAGGACTCAGCACGTACTAAGCCCTCAGTAACATCAGCTATGCTAATTACTGCTGCCTGAAATTATTACACATACCTGTTACATATAAGGAATGTGATAAATGTTTGTGGAATATATGAGTGACTAGTTCATAATTCTCAAGTAGATTGTAAGCCCTTGAAGTTCAAAAAGGTGGAGAAAAGAGAAATTGAACAATAAATCATCATAATAAAAGCTACCTTTAGTTAAGTGCTTATCATGAGCTAGCCTCTGAACTAATTGCTCTATATACATTCTCTCGTTTAATCCTTATGGAAACTGATTTTTTTATCATCCTTCTTAAATCACAGTTGTTATTATTGTTTTTTTTAATAGCCTTAGCTCTCATACACAATGTTGTGGGAACTCTATGTCCTCCCAAGATTCCAAGGACTCCCGGGGAATGAATTGGCAGTTTCATGATCATTTTTCCTTATGGATTCCTGCTCCGGCTGCATGCAAGCTTTTTTACCTTCCTCCTGACAGTGCTGTCCCCTCATCCCCTCACTTTCACAAATGGCAGGCTAAGCCCTTCTTTTCTTCTTTCCCTAAAGGCTCCTTGGGACACAGGGCCATTTTACCTAGAAGACTTATTGAAAGGTGGGGCCATCACAGGATAGCAGACGGCACAGGAAATCACTAATGTGCTCAGCACCCTCCTTCTGGACTGTTCTACTCTGAGCCCTTCCTGCAACCACATTTCCCTTTCCCTAAGAATCTTCTCCCGGTCTTTGTCTCCGCTGAAAACCTCATATTTGTTACTTTGTTATGCAAAGAAATTTCGCTTTTTTGAATAAACGCTTCCATTCAAGGATATTCTCAATCTCGGGTCAGAGAAGGAACCAAGAGAATAGAAGCTCAGTAACTTTTTAAAACTAAAAATGTTTAACAAGAAGTATTTTCCTTGACCAATAAGCAAAGCACCATCTGTGATGAATCCTGCCCCACCCTAGAATGAAGACATATGGCAGTTGTTTTTTTCATAACAACATTTGTTTTACTTCCTGTTATACTTGTAGAAATGGTATGACGTATTTATTATAATACCCATTTTTTTTTCCAGCGGAGGAAACTGAGGATGAAAAAACTTTTTTTTTTTTTAAGTTACTTGCTCTAAGTTCCACAGCTAATGTCAGAGTTGAATTCCAAATGCAGACCTGATTCCAAAGCCAGAGAGATTGACCACGACACCATGTGGCCATTTAATGCAGCTCAAGCGGATCTTGAAGTGGTTCCATTCACAGGTGATTCTTACTCAGGAAATCTTTCTGTTGGGGGAGGTCTTGCAGGTCAGAGGAAGGTGAATTGATTGATTGAAGGCCAAAGACATTAAAACCAAGTAAGAGCTAGGAATAACTACCTATGTATAGCTTCACATCTGAGACCCAAGGGGAGTTGTCGCTATTAATCACTGCTGAATGATTGCTCTGATTGCTTCATTTGTTGGTGCTGCAGTTGCTGAATTTTACTGCGCTGTATTTGACCTTGGGGAGGGGTTCACTTTGGGGGAAGATAAGTAGAGTGGAGGAGGACAGAAACCAGATTATAGTAGACTGAAGAGCAAGTAATAACCAAAGTTATAATTTTCCCATTATCACACTTTATTATGGGGAGAAACCCTTCCAATAAGTATCATGATTTCTATTTTAGGGATGAGAAAGCCCAAGTCACTTTACTTATGTGTGGCAAAAATCCCTCTGATCTCTCCACCAGTGACATATTAAGGAATGTTTTCCAACTCTTTCTGGGAAGAGTTCTCATAAATTCTGTTTCTGCAACTTTAATCCATTTCCAGTGATGTTCTTGCCTCCCTTACAACCTTGGTTCCCCAACCAGCTTCCCAGCTGGGATACATTTTCATCTGGGTCTGCCTGACCCACCATTCCTGCCTCAGGTAAGTCTTGCACAAGAGAACTATGAATCCAAGCTAGCCATTCTTTCATTCATTCCACAGCTAGTTATTGAGCTCTCTGTGAGAGCCTCTGCTACCTGGCCAACCCTTTTAGATATCCTGAGCAACCAGCTTGAAGTGGAGGTTTTAAAGATGCAGCCAACACTCCAAAGCAAGAGAAAGCTTGTCTTATCTTCCCAAAGAGAGAGCCTCTGCTCCATTGCCAGGTAGGAAACCATAAAACACTCTTGGCTGCTATTCCCCCTCTCTGTTATGTCGAAACAGTGACTACTAGATCTCTTAAGGTTTGTTTTTTTTTTTTTTTTTTTAATTTCCCTCCATCTTCTTTCTTTGAAAATTTTCAAACCTACAGAAATGTTGCAAGAGGAAACAATGAGTCCCCCATTTACTGGATCATTTTCTCCTAGATCTAAAATTGCTAATATTTTACATCATATTTGCTTTCTTGGCCCTCCCCATCTCTCTTTATATACATATGTATTTTTTTTCATGATAATACTAAAATGCAATTTGCCTTTCCACTCTCATTCTCTCACAGGTATGTCACATGTGTATGTGGATATATAGGCTTCTATGTGGTATGCTGGACCATGGGAAACTAAGTACAGACATTATAAAATTTCATTCCTAAAGATTTTTGCACACAAAACTAAAATAAGGCCATTCTCCCATATAGCCATAAAAACCATTATTATGCCTAAGAACCAAATCCAGTTGACTGTATCATCAAGACATCTCCCATCCAGCCACTTTTCTTCAGCCACATGTTGTACTTAACTTCCAGAGTATAGTCGTCTCTTTGCTGGGCCCCTCTTCTGTCCATGATCCACATTCCAACCAAAGAGCTTTCCAAAGTATAAATCTGATTATGTCTCCTTCAGACTTTCCAGTGGCTCTATATTACCTTCACAGTGAAGAATACACCTCAGGTGGCACACAAAGCCAGCCAGTATTGTCTGGATTCATCTAGAGCAGCACTACCCAATAGAATTACACTGTGAGCTATTTATTTGTTTGTTTTTGTTTGTTTGTTTGTTTGTTTAGAATTTTTTTAAAGTTGTAGATGGACACAATACCTTTATTTTTTTGATTTATTTTTTTACATGGTACTGAGGATGGAACCTAGCGCCTCATGCATGCTAGGTGAGCACTCTACCACTGAACCACATCCCAGCTTCTTTATTGTCATTTCATATTTGCTAGTAGCCACGTTTTAAATAGTAAAAAGGTGAAACTAATCTTTTTTAAAAGATATTTTTAGTTGTATATGGACCATTTATTTATTTTTATGAGGTGCTAAGAATCAAAGTTGCATCATATGTGTGAGGCAAGCGCTTCATCACTGAGCTACAACTCTAGCCATGAAATTGATCTTAAAATACATTTTATTTAATCTAGTATATACCAGATGTTATCATAGCAACACAAACTTAATATTTAAAAAAGTACTCATGAGATACTTAACATTCTTTTTTTTCTCTTGAAATCCTTAAAATCTGGCATGTACTTAACAAAGCCCATCTCAATTCAGATGTTAAATTTTAAGGGTTAAAACAAAATATATTTTTTTTTACTAAAACTAAAGGTTATATTTTACACACACACAATGTATATGGTTCATTTTAAAAGCTGAATTAATTAAAATGAAATAAAATTGGAAGTTCTGTTCCTCATTCATACTAGCCACATTTCAAGTGCTCAGTAGCCGCATGAGGCTAGTTGGTACTGAAATTGTGCAGATTGAGAGTAGGAGTTTTTAAAGTATGATCCAATGTCCCCTGGGGATTCCTTAAACAAATCTAAAGGGTCATTGAAATCAAAACTATTTTCATATTAATGCTAAAATGTTATTTTCCTTCTTCACTTTCATTCTCTCACAAGTGCAGAGTGGAGTTCCAGAGTCTGCACCACATGTAGTATCACAACAGATCTAATACAGAGGCACATAAGAGAATTGGCAATCTTCTATTAAGCCAGATATTAGAAATTTATCAAAGTGTAAAACAGTGCCACTCTTTTTCTCAATTTTTTTTGTAAAATATAATTATTTTTCATTTTGTTACATGTTAGGTAATGGAATAATAATTATTTTCAAATAAATTAACAAATAATTTCATTTTTTTCTGGGTTTTTTTTTTTTCGTTTCTACTGAATAAAATTAAACTCTGGTCCAGCTTTATCCATCCTACACAATCAGTGACACACCGAATTTTCTGGAACTCACTTTCCCTTAACACATCCTCTTTCTCTGTTATACAGAGAAAAAGACTGTTCTTTGAAAGTAACTTTTACTTTCTTGACTCCATCTTGTATGTGCTCTTCTTTTGGCTCCAGATATCCTCAACTCATCACCACCATCAAAATCATACCCACCTTCACAGACCTACCCAGATCTCCCCAGCTGGAAGGAGCCCGCCCACTCTGGATGCACTGTACTTCATGTTGACTTCTGGGATATCATTTCTTATTTTATTCCTTGTATTTATTTTGTTTTTATTTGTTTGAATATACTTATAGTATTCTTTGCAATGTTTTAAAATCTGTGGGTACAAATAAATGCATATCTTCTTCATCTCAACCTCTGTTGGCTGAGCATCTCACATGGTTCCTTGTTACTCTTTGAGTTTCTGTTTATTTTTCTAAAAGAATAGTACCTACTTTGTTGAAGTTCTGTGAGTATTAAGTAAAATACTCTATTTTAACATTGATGCTGTGTCTCAATTTTTTTAAGTACTCAATGAAGGTTAGCTCCTATAAATTGTTGTATTATTTGAAGGAATAAATGCACTGATCAAGTGCTATTAGATCTAACTTCAAAACATCTTTTTATTTGAGGGGGGCTACTGGGGATTGAACTCAGGGGCACTGAGCCATATCCCCAGCCCTATTTTGTATTTTATTTAGAGACAGGGTCTCACTGAGTTGCTTAGCACCTCACTTTTGTTGAGGCTGGCTTTGAACTCGCAATCCTCCTGCCTCAGCCTCCCAAGCCACTAGGATTACAGGTGTGCTCCACTGCACCTGGCTCAAAACATCTTTGAATTCCACTTCATGATCATCTGCTCCTGGCCATGAGCATTTCCCCTGACACTGTCACTAGAGTCTACTTGGTCTCCTTCCTTCTCCTCTTTTGTCCTCTATCTCTATTCTTAACTCAGCAGCCAGCAGGATCTTTTTAAAACAGGAATCAGATCAAATTACTTTTCTGCTCAAAATGGTGATTTCCACTAAAAGGCCTAATATGATCTGGCCTCCTGTCATTCTCCCCTCTCACCAATGCAGCCTCAGTGGCCATCTTGCCTTCCCTCACACTTTTTTGCCCTTGACAAGTCTGCTTCATGGAACTTTGCACTTGCTATTTGCTCTGCATGGGAGGAGCTCTCCAGCTTGACCTATAACCAGATCCACTTCTTCTTTCAAACGAACCTATGCTCTCAACTGCCACCTCTTTAAAAGTAACTACCACATATAAAACACCAACCATTACTCCCAATCTACACTCATCCCCTTTAGTTTTTCTTTCCAGTTTCACTTACCTATGGTTAACCACAATCAGAAAATATTAAATGGAAAATTTAATATTCTATTCTGAGTAGCATGCTAAAAAAATCTCTCTCCATCCCACTCTGTCCTGGCCAGCCCATGAATATTCCCTTTGTCCAGAGTATTCACACTGTATGAGCTACCCGCCTGCTAGTCACGTGGTAGCTATCTCAGTTATCAGGTCAATTATTGCACGATCACACTATTCATATGTAGGGTTTAGTACTATCTGCGGTTTTAGACATCTTAGAACATATAAAGGGGAACTTCTGTATTTTATATTTTTATAGCTCTTCATATGCCCCGAAAACATACCTATATGTTTCCTGAGATAAGATTGTTGCTTATCTCCTTGCTAGAATTGTAAGCTCCGTGAACATCTGCTATATCTCCAGACTCTAGAACAGTGAATGACAAATAACAAGTGTTTAATAAAAGTTGGTGAATGACTTAACAGTGGCTGGAAATTCCTTGGACGGAAGAAACATCTGGTTGCACAAAACTGCTCACCCTTTCCCGGGTTTGTGTGAAAAGGAAGTGTGGACTTGATCTACTTAGAAGGAATGGAATGGGGATGACCTATTCATCAAGGCTGAGTGTACTCTCATTTATCCATTTAGATGAAAATCTGGCAGACATGAGTCTGTAATGAACAATGTAATATGGCAGAGAGCCCCAGGGCACAGCAGAAGGAGCTGAACCTCGCCATCTCCTGGGATTTTAATTGCTAGGCCCAGGACCTGCTGGAGGGCCAGGCCACACATACCGCATGTTGGTGAAATGCTCCAAATGGGAAACCCCAGACCTACCCTGACATTCCTTTACTGACTTCATGGCATCCAACTAGAGGAACCCAGAGGACTCCGCAGAAGAACAGGGTGATATGATGAAGGTAAAAGTTTCCCATTCGGGAGTTGTGAATTCTAGCTGACTGGGCAAGGTGTGTCCTTTCTCTGAGCCTTAGTTTGTGTTTAACTATATCATAAGGAAGTTGGGTTGAATGTATCTTTAAGGTCCTCTCCATCAGTGCCTTTCTGTGGTTATATGAGTTTTGTGTATGACATAAACTGGACTAGACTCTTCAGGGTGGGGCAGTGGCAGAGAGAAACTCAACATGGAGCCACTTGAATTGAGGCCGAGCAGTAGGAGCTCAGCAAGGCCAGCAGGTGGAGCCATTGCTGCACCAGGATGTGCAAGTCAAAGGTGGGAAAGTTTGATTTTTCTGAGGAAGCAAAGCTTCCCAGCTGTGGTGGAGAACCCTACCCTTCCCACCCCCCACCCCACCCCCGGGAACACAGTCCTTCCTTCCAAAGCCTACATGTTCATATACTCAGGGAAAATGGCTACAAGACGCAATTGCTTCTTTTCCTCTAACTGGGTCACACTCTCAAATGGTCACTCATGACAAAATGTGCTACTAGTTGGAAGCCAACTGGATTTTTCTTTCTGATTACCATCTTGCTTTCCTCCAGTCCCAGGAGGGTTCTAGCCCCCTCCCTTTACCTCTCCTGGGTTCTGTGGAAGAACCTCTGGTTAGAGAAGTTGGAGGAAAGCCAGAGACACATGGGGGAGGGGGAGGGCTGGGGGAAAGGTCTGGCTTTGTCAAGATAAGAATGGAAGAATCAACCTTTGTTAGGGCCCAGCCACCTCTGCCACTGTTGACACACTTGGAGGTGTTTCCTGAGGCTACTGGGAGTGTCCAGCAGCACCCTCCCCGCCCCATTTCCTGTGGTCTGGGGTGGGGGCATCTGGAAGTTGGAAAGAGGTGAGTGCTTACAGATAGCAGCTGAAATCCTGAGGGTGGAAACTGGCTCCCCTCCTGGAGTTGGCTGCCAGATTTCTAGAAAAGTCCCCACATCGTCCTTTGCTATTTCTGCTCTGAGCTGGGGCCTTAGATGGTCTGGTAACAGAGGCTGCCTAGGACATCACCCCTTTCCTTTGTTTTGCATATTTTGCATGCAGCACCAGTGTGTTCCTCTTTTCAGAAGGGTGTTCCTAAGTCCCAGGCACATCACCCTCCTTCCTGAAGGTCCCTGCTCCATTAGAGCCTGCATTTCTCTCTACTACTGGAAATATCCAGCCTCCCTGCCTCCCCCCATAGAGAATAGTTGGCAAACTGGACCACAGATCCTCAGCCTCCTAATTGGTACCTGTGTCCCCTGAGATGGTCAACCTCTTCCCAGGCTGGCCCTCCCCACCACATTGCTGCATGGTCCTGCTGGGTCTGATGGGACTACTCTGTCATTCAGAACATCTAGCTGGGATAGCCCCACAGAACAGATAGTTCGGTATTACTTTAATTACAGTATTTAAACACACAACTTTTTATTCAGAAAAAAAAAAATCCACCCAATCCTCATTTCTGGAAAGTTCTCTTTCCAACCGTTATTGAAACCAGGATCCCTGCTCACCCCTCTAGAAAAACAACAACAGAAAAGGACTTGTGTCTCCCCCAGATGAGGAAGCTTGTGATCTTTGGGAGAAGTCATGGGGCTCTGACTATCTGGAGATGCAGAGCAATGAAGGGATTCGGGTGGGGGAGGCAGAAACAGAAGTCGGCTGGGGCTGAGGTCACTGCTCAACCCAGGAGTCAGAGGAGGGGATCAGAAGCTGTGCAGATAAGAGGAGACCATGATCCAGCCTCAGCACAAAGAGAATTCTGCAGAATAGCACAGGTCAAGAGGTTCTGCTCAGAGATCTGGATCTGGTCTCATGGTCCTGCTCACTTTGATCCAAGGAGACTCTGTGTGACCCCTGAGAGACCAGGACTGAGCTGTTTCTTCTACAACATGGAGCCAGAAAAGTGTGCCAGCTTCTGTATGTGGACAGAGGGAGACACATGAAGCTTGCAGGAACTTGGGAGAGCAAGTATGGAGCTGGTGGCTAAACCCACAGTGTCTTAGAGGAAGGATAGGGACAAGGTTTAAGACAACGTGTTTTTTTCTGGTTATATCATTGCAAGGGAGCAGGTACAAGGGGTAGTTTGGAGAAAGAAATACAAGGAAGAAACAGTAAAAGCCTCCTGGGAGAAAGATATATCTTAGAGAAGCCCATCCTTTCCCCTAGGGGCTTCTGTAAGGGGGCAGAGAGCAGGAGAGAAGGAGGGGGTCCCTGTGTGGATGCTGCAAGGCCATCAACCACCCTGGCAGCTCCTCTGGACCTTGGCTTTTCCCCACCACACCTTTACCAAGAAAAGACCAGAGTCTAGGCTCAGAGAGCTGAATGTATAAAGGGCACCTGGAAAGTGGAGGGTCCCCCCGAACGGCCTCTGGGGTGCACACAGAGGGGAAGGGTAGGACATGAGAGATGTTGCCTCCAGCACGGAGGCAATATGTGGTCAAGAGGCAGAGAGGGGCCACTTTTTCCTGGACACTGCCCAGTCTTGCCCCACCCAGCCAAGTCACAGTTCAGTATCAGCCACCACGTGTTGTCTTGCTGAATGGCCGTTTCTGGAGGAGGCCTGGCCGGTCCCGTTCTCCTGAGCCCCTCGATTCACACTGGCCTTTCCCTGAGCCTCAGAGGAGGACCCAGGTCCTGAGCTATAGCCCTGGCCTCCACCGTTCTCCGTGTAATAAGGGTCTTCGCCCTAGACAGTGTATAAATAAAGTAGCATTATCTGGTCAGCAGGGGTGTGAGACACTGTGAGGAGGGAAACCAGAGGGAGGAGGGGAAGGGAGGGAGAGGAGACGCAGCTGCACGTGCAGGCTCCTTTCTTCCAGTAGAGCAGTCAGGGTTCCAGCTCCTGGAGGAAAAAGGACAGAGGAGAGGCACCACACCGCGCCACCAGAGCCCAGTAGCCAACTCCCCCAAGACAACTGGCCGTCCTAAGGGTGGAATAAACTCCCCAGAGTAGGTGACCTCCCAAGGCCAAGAGGCATGCCTCAGTCTTGTCCTCCCCTTGTCCAGAACACTTCAAAAGTAGAAGCAAGATGGCACCTACTGGGCCTTCAATATGCTTATAAATAACTATGGTTGACTTAGTGGTCGGTTCTGGATGTACTCAGCTGAACTAGCCCAGGAAACACAATGCCATGAATCATCTGCTCTGAGAGTGAATAAGCGGGCTGGCCCCAGTTACTTTACCCACCATCTTGCTTTATGTTGTTTTGATTTTTCAACGGATACAGTATATGCATGAATGTGTATCCCCATACAGGAGCACACAGGTGAAGTGTCTTCTCTGGTATTTCTCCTCCCCCTCCATGATACCCATGATACCCCACCTCCCCAGAAGACCACTATCTTCCTCATTTCCTTTGCCCTGGACCCCAGAACTGACCAGCCTTTCTCCTGTGGGGCTCCAACTGCGACGGTTCATCAGGAAATAGCCAGTAGTGCCCAAGATGGCCAGCAGGATTCCTGAGGTGACTAGTGCAATCAGGGTCTTTCTGGAATAACTCTGGTGGTTTCCAAGATCTTGTTTCATGAAACTTTGGATCCCCAGCTTGAGGAGAAGACACAGAAAAGGCAGCCTGTCACTTGTAGAAAAGGATTTCTAGGAGAGGAAGGCCAGCTTACTTTATATCCCCGAGTGCAACTCAACAATGAATAGACACAAGAGGATAGTGACCTTGGGGATTTCTGAGACAGGGCTTAAGACTGACATCTCTGAATTGAGCTGCACTGTAAAATTTTTGGTTCAATCAGAAGAAGTGAAGACTGTCAGAGAAGAATGGAGGGGCAGGAAGGGAAACTTCTGGAGAAGATAATTACTACTCCCTGACCCCATGTTCCCTCGGAGACCCATCATGTCAGAGAACTTACCTTTCTCAGCTTAGACTGGTGTTTCTCCATAAGCCGGAGTTTGCTGGGAAGTTCTAGAATTAGAAACAAGGATTTGCTAAATCTAGAAGCTAGACAAACTTATGCAGCTATATCCTCCCATGCTGTTCTAGAAGATGCTCTGATGGCCAGGTTGGTCCATCTCGGCACCTATGGTCTCTGGAGCTCAGATGTGGGATCTCGACCCAGGATCTTTTAACCTCAGGCCTGTCTAATCTCAGCCCTACTCCCTGAGAAAAGGTGCATCCTTACCTGTTCCATTGGCCAAGACCAGCAGTAGGCACTGAGGTTTAACTTCAGACTGGGCGAGAAGCAAGGAGCACATGCCAGTCCCAGAATCAACATCCTCTTTCCCACACAGTATTTGAATCAGGTCCTCTCCTCTATCCTTCTTAAAGTCCTCCTAGGAAAACAGAACAACAGAAAGTAGGAGACGAACTTCCCGGTACCTCTGAACTGCATTTATAGTCTCAGGTAACAATTCTGACAGAAATTATAAATTACCCCTTCTCTCAAGAAGAACCTGTCTTTCTTAAATTCCCATTGAAAAAAAATAGTTACTAACAAAACAGTAAAAAAAAAAAAAAAACTTAAATTTTCCTGTACCAAAACATATACTTATTAGTATCTAAGACATCAGAGAACAGACTCAGGAAATGTTATCTTTAAATAAGATTGCCCATTTGTGCATACGCAGAAGGATCACAAGTTCAAAGCTAGACTCAACAAATTGGTGAGGCCCCAAGTAATTTAGTGAGACTCTGTCTCAAAATAAAATATATAAAAGGGCTGGGGATGTGGCTCAGTGGTTAGTTGCCCCTGGGTTCAATCCCTGGTATCAAAAAGAAAGAGAGAGAGAATAACGAGAGAGAGAGAGAAAGGGAGGAAGGAAGGAAAAACAAATCACTAACAGAAATGATGAACAATAATTCAAAAATAACTAAGAGAAAATCCTTGTTTGCAGGTTACATTAGACTCAAATGATGGCAGAAAAGCCAATGAAGGTGAGTAGAGGACAAACTTACGAGGGACCCTCCCTCTCCCTGTGCAGAGGGGTTTCCTAAAGGGCACTGCTCAAATGGAAATGATGTTTTTATCTGGTGTTTCAACCCCTTTTCCATCAAAAGCATAAAAATCTTAATGAAGTCCAGGTATCCCTCTCCAAAGTTGCTGACTGGTTCCTAAGACTCGGGAACTCAGACTCAGAAGATGAACTTCAACAAATGAGTCCCAGGAAAGGTATGAATTGGAAGCATTGGTTTTGCCCTTCAAAACCCTGATCTCCCACTTCCCGGGACTTATTTCAGCAGCCTCCCATCAGAGTGACCTCCCCTGCATAACCGAAACTAAGACTTTCTCCTCTGTCCGGCAGATGGCAGAGGCGGAAATGCCTGATGGCTCTGACAACTTTCCTGTTGGGGAAAACTGCTGGGGCGTGTGACAGTCATCAGACCTGGGCCTCTGTGGAGGAGAACGCTTCCTGTTTGCGGGCAGGGCTGCTGCTCGTGGCAAGGCCAGAGGTCCTCCCAGTTGGAAAGGAGCCTGGGTATTTTCCTACTGCTAAGATCTAAGTCAGGAAAACCCAGGTTCCTTTGCTTCTGCACAAGGCAAGGTCAAGATTGGCCTTAGCCCCCCACTGGAATTTGAGGGAGGTAAGGGAAAATAACTGGGCATGGACAAGGCGAGAAGAGCAGGGCTGGTCAATCCGGGTCACAAGACAGGAGCCCAACGGTAGCCTGAATCACCCGCCAAGACTAGGTCACAGAGAAGTGCATCCTCAGGCCCCTGCTGCTTCTTCCCTCCATTAAAAGATCAGTTCTGCAGGTTTCCCAGTAAGTCTTTGGGTAGAGACTCTCCTTCTGGAAAAGTCTGGCTCTTTAATACATTTGCATTAGGCAGTGTGGACCCCCACATTGGATATGACCATCAGTCTCCTATCGGAAGAGTATTGGGTAGACCCGGTTCTCCTCCCTCACCCACTATGCCTTCTGGACAGAGGGTAGGAAGTTCCCCAGCAGGTTTCTGAAGTGTCTCTGGCTGAAAAATGTCTGCTTCCTGGGGGAGACAGAGGGGCAGGGCTCCCCTAGGATCTAAAGTAGCCAGAGAGAATGGCACCTTCCACCTTCCCCTACTTCTCAGTGCTCAGAAGCTGCACCTCTACAGCTGCTCTGGCATTTATCAAGCCCTGAAGATAAGAAACTGTGGTCGGGTGCAGTAGCACACCCCTGGTGTGCCTGTAATCCCAGCAGCTTGGGAGGCTGAGGCAGGAGGATCATGAGTTCAAAGCCAGCCTCAGCAAGTTAGCAAGGCCCTAAGCAACTCAGCGAGACTCTGTCGCTAAATAAAATATAAAAAAAGACTGGGGATGTGGCTCAGTGGTTAAGCACCCCTGGGTTCAATCCTCAATAACTGCCCCCCTTCCAAAAAAAAAAAAAAAGAAGTAACTGTTGAAAACTGCTTTCGTTGGGGTTTGAGGATGGGATGGTCTATGAATTCCACACAATCAAAACTCCTTCTTCCTGTAGCAGGGTCTTTGTTTGCACACAGCAATTAAAATAAATGATGCTTACTATGTCTAGGGCACAGTCCTAAGGGTTCTTCATGTACATTTAGGCCTCCTACAAGCCTAGAAGATGGGCATAACTATTCTCTTCATTTCGTGGATGAAGAAACGGAGGCACACAGAGACTATTTACATGGCAAGTATCATGACAAAGGTACAACCAAAGTGCTAAGAACATACAAAGGACGGCGAGGTCATGTCTGGCATGGAGTTATTATCAGGAACATCTCAAAATAGATCTTGAAGAAGGGGTAGAATGCCTGCAGGTGAGGCTGGTGGGGAAAGATACCAGGGAACTAACTGGGTACCACAGTGGACGTGCAGGGCATCAACCCTTTTTTTGCCGTTGACTAGAATCTTCACAAGTTATGCAGCTAGTCTGAGTGTCAAGTTCCTCAGCTATAAACTGGGTTGTTTGCGTGACTAAAGAGACATTGTATGAACAATGTCCAATACACTGCGAACCTAGTGGACACTAGATAAATGGCAGCTATTACTATATTAATAGCAAGACCTTATATACTATATCACACAGAGTCCATATTTTACCATATTCTGCCTATCATTTCTCTCTAACTAGACTGTAAGACTTTCTGAGTATGTGCATAGGGTGGGGGCGAGGGTGTACCATACATAATTTTGAACCTGGACTGCACTAATCATAAAACCAAGCAAACAACAGAACTCAAGGAATTGTTGTTCAACTTAACACCCCACTGGTTGGCTTCCACATGGGGTCCCCCCCTTGCTTAACTTCTTGGACTAAATTCAAGGGAATAAGAGCAGCCAGCCTCCCACTCTGGAATCCAAGGGCCTCAGTGAATTGTGTTTGGGCCTAGAGAGGAGCAGGTGGGTCCTGAACAAAGCACAATGCTTCTCCGGATGCTCGGAATAAACATCCTCCCCCAAGAGACACTGCGCGGGCAAACATCATGGGAGAGTGGGCAGGAGGAAGCCACAGCCTCACCATTTTATTCATGAGAATCAGATTTATGAGCCCCTAATTATATCTGCTCACACATGTGACTTTGGAGAAATAATAAAACCATCTAACTTTTCTAGAGCAGCATATTCAAACTTTGCAAAGTCTCCAAACATATGTAAGAAGAACCTCAGGCACTGAGATGGGAGTGAGGGGAGGGACAGGCATGTTTTCTAAAGACCTTGAAGTCATTTATTTCCCAATGCTGAAATTTTAGGATCAATCTCCCTCAACCAGCCCTTTCAAAAATAATGTTATTTTTACTTTGCAGTGTGCATCTGACAGTGCAGGTAAAAATTATATTTTGACATGAGGACTGGAGTAATTCAAGGACCTGTTAGAAGTCAAACAACAAAGGGACAGTAACCAAGGGTGAGAAACTAGATTGTCTCTAGAGCTCAGGTTCTTTCCAAGAGACACACTGTCTTCATAAGTTTTTCATCTCGAGCTTATGTTTTGTGCATGGAAACTGACCTTTAGTGTTTGGGCAGAGGGCAAAGAAGGCGGGGGCTGGAGATGTGATCTGGGGGCTGGAGGCAGCCCAGCCCAGATGAAGTCAATATGACAGAATAAGAGTAATGTGAGCTAGCTGAGTAGAAACAAGCCCTGCACATAAACAGATGTAGCACTAGAGAAAGGTAGCAGTGGGGCTGGGGATAGAGCTCAGTTGGTAGAATGCTTGCCTTGCATGCACAAGTCCCTGGGTTCAATCCCCAGCACCACAAAAGAAAAAAAAAAGTAGTAGTAAAAAACCAAATTTGTGGGCGAAGGATTTGAATTATTATTTCTCCAAAGAAGATACACAAATAGCCAATCTGTACATGAAAAGATGCTCACCTTCACTAATTATCAGGGAAACGAAAATTGAAATGATAATGAGCTATTACTTCACACCAAATAAGATAGTTATGATAAAAAAAAAAATCAGAAAATTTCAAGTGTTGAAATTGGGAACCCTGAGCACAATTAGTGGTGATGTAAAACGATACAGCCATTATGAAAAACGGTATGTGATTCCTCAAAAACAGAATTACCATGTGATCCAGCAATTCCATTCCAAAACTGAAATCAGGGTGTCAAAGAAATAATTTGCACACTCATGTTTATAGATGCATTATTCACAGTAGCTAAAAGGTGGAAAAAATCCAAATGTCTACAAGTGGATGAAAGGATCAATAAAATGGAATATATACACACAATGGAATATTATCCAACTTTATCAAAGAAGGCATTTGTGATGAATGCTATGTATGGGTGAACCTGGATAACGTTATGCTAAGTGAAATAAGCCAATTGCAAAATGACAAACACCACATGATTCTACTTTTTGTGAAGTAGGTAGAGGAGTAGCCAAGCTCACAGACACAGAGGGAATGGAGGTGTGCAGGGCCTGGAGGAGTGTGGAGTTCTTCTACAGGTTAAGGGTTCCAGTTTTGAAGGATGCAAAGAGTCCTGGAGGCTCGTACAAAAATGTGAATGTACCTTACTGAACTATACACTTAAAAAGGGTTCTGAGGGTACATTTTAGATTATGTGTATTTTACCACAGTTAAAAATATTTTGGTGGGGCTCGGGATGTGGCTCAAGTGGTAGCGCGCTCGCCCGGCATGCGTGAGGCACTGGGTTCGATCCTCAGCACCACATAAAAATAAAATAAAGATGTTGTGTCCACCAAAAACTGAAAAATAAATATTAAAAAATTTCTCTCTCTCTCTTTTAAAAAAACAATTTAAAAAAGTAAAATAAAAATATTGTGTCCACCTAAAACTAAAAAATAAACTTTTAAAAAATATTTTGGTGAATTCCATTCAACCAACAGGTATAGAATAAGTCAATAAAGTAATCTCACATTTTAGAAACAATGTGGGGAACCACAACCACCAAAGCTAAATTAAGCTGGCACTGCAGCAGAGAGAATGCAAAATCAGACCTGGGGAGACACCCTCCGCTAATGAACGTTCTGAGATGTAGAAAAAGGTGTTTGAGGACACTGCAGTGTCACCTTCCCTTTCCTTGGCTGCCTGGAGCTAAGGATGGGGAGCAAAGGGAGAGTAATAGAGATTTATGTGTCTACAGGGTGTAGGTACAGAAGACAGGCCTAAATAGTCTATTTAGTACCCACCAAGCAGTAGGGCAGAGTTAGGGTTTGGGTAGCTGAGAACCATGAATGCATAGTTCTGTTATGAGCATGAAGCCCAGGTGCAGGTGAGTACTGGTATTAGGTGGGTACCAACATTACATGATAGGGAAAACCAAACAAGGAAAATTGAACCTGTCATGCTCCTCATTAGGCTCTGGGTAGGGCTACAAATTCTGGAACAAGAACTGCAGGCTGAGGAAAATTGATCCTGGGGAGTAGGAGGCACTGCTATTTGGGGGCTGGGGAGGAGGCCCCTTCAGGAAGAAAGGTAATAGACAGGAGTAGAAACACCAGGGAAAACGGAACTACCCATGTACTGACTGCCACAGGGATGATTCATTGTGAGCAGTGCAGAATCCTTTAGCATGGAACACTGGGGGAGCTGCTCTCTTTCCAAACCCCTACTTCACAGGTCCTCCCCAAATCCCAAAGGAACATATAGAGTTGTGACATAAAGTATATCAGACAGCAAAGACCACAGTGAAAAAGAGACCAGGGCAGAGTAATGGGAGTTATTTCTAGAGTGGCCCTTGTCTTGTACAATGACCCTAGTTAAAATGACCCTAGTTCGCACTTTGAAAAGCAACAGACACTTTGAAAGCTCTGCAGTCAGCTCTAAATCCTGGCCACAAAGAATTAGCATTCCGGCACAGATTGATGTGATACACAGAAAAGTAAATGCTCAACCAAAATGATAGGGAAAAAAAATGATCATTTTCCTTTGTTATAGTTAACAAAAGAGTTGACAATTTTTTTCCCTTAATGAGTAGGGTTGGAAATCAGCAGCAGAAACACTCTGGGTGTGTTTTTCAAATTGCATTAAGTTATTCTATTCTGTGAACTTGTGTTTTCACGATTTCCGTTCTTAAAACGCCCTGGCTTAAAAATTCTTTTAGGTGAAATTTAAAAAGATGTGTAAGTCAGAGAGAGAGACCCAACTGATGGTTGCAAGTAAGATGCAGTCGTTGGAATGACCAAAATAAGTAACTTATACCCTCCATAAGCTGCAATCTGTTCATGCCACACATCACCTGTGTGTTTTCGTTAATTCCCAATTTGTAAGAAAATGCTTTTTATAAGTAAATAACACTCTTCCTTTCACCTCCATCCTTCGTCTTGAACCTTGTTATTCTCATGAAATAGGATTTTTCTGAAACCAGGCAGGAGGCTTGGTATCATCATTAAAAATTAACACGAGGCCATATATATTCTTAACCAATGCAGTAAGACATGAAACTGAAACAACAGCCTTAACTACTGAGAAGAAGAGAGAAACAATATATAGTGACAGAGAACACAATTGCTTTCCTCAAAAACTAAAAAGAACCAAATAAAAAGCTACTGGAGTTCATAAGCAAGTTCAAGAAAATGGTTAAACCCAAGGTAATTATTCAAAACTCCATCAACTTTCTAACATCCCAACAATAATCAACTGGAATATATAATAGGATATGGTGTTATAAACAAGCTTAAGAAATCCATCAAACCTACAGAGAAACGGACTAGCGGTATAGTTCAGTGGTAAAGTTGCCTAAATCACATGAGGCCCTGAGTTTAATCCCTAGCACTGGACCAAAAAACAAAACAAAAAGAAACAAAAAAAAAAAAAAAATCAACCAAACAAAAAACTTGCAAGGAAGAAAAAAATCTAAATTAAAAATAAATAAATAAATAAATAAATAAATTTAACAACAACATACCAGGCTTAAAAATGCCAAAGAATACTGGGGGGGTGGGGGGGGGGATGAAGGATTTTTAGAACAGTTCCAATTAAAATGGTGGTGGGATTTTTTTTTGGGATGCTGACAGATGTCTTCAAAGATTTTCTAAAAGAAGAGCTGGAAACTACTATATACTTTTTATAGTATAATGAGGAAAGACCTGATTAGCCGCATATTAAAAGTACAAATAAACAAACAAAAAACCTTAAAATTTTAAAACAGATAAAAGCATAAACAAACTAAAAAGATAAAAGTAAACAAAATAAAAAAAGAAAAAGAATGTGCCCACACATATAGAAACCTGTAAGCTACCATGTAAATTAAATATAAGCTTTATTGAATGAGGTGATCATTCAATAAATAACTTTAGGAAAAACAGTTTTATGGAAAATACAGCATTACAACAAAGTAAATTCTGCATACCACTAGAATTAGTTGATTAATTTATATCTGGATAACAAAAAGGAATTTCTTAACATAAAAGCATACTTCAATCTGACATAAAATAACAAAATTTTATTCCAATTGGTTTTGCCTTTTTTGCCCACCAGATGGGGCCTCTTACTCCCAAAAAATACAACACTCAACATTAGAAGCAGCCTTTCCCTGCTGAACTCCTCAGACCCCTACCAAAATCTGGCCCAATCCAAGATGCTTTAAGGATGTTCAAAGGGTGTGTGGGGGAGGGGAGGAGGTAGCAGGTCAGGGTTGACTTACGCAGCTAGACGTCTCATTTAGCTCCAGGCAGATGCCCTGAGTCAATCTCACTTCTCTAATTCCTGAACATTTGATTTCTCCCTGTATTAAAACAAAAACAAAATACATATGAGAATCTTTGTCTTTCATTTCTTTCTTACCTCCTTTCCAGTTGGATTTCTATGAGGTACTCTCTTAAAAGGTTTTAGGAAACAGGAAATTTAAAATTTGTCAATGATAAAAACCCCAAATCTGAAAGGCTCCAAAATCGAACTTTTTGAGTACCAACATGATGCAGTAAGCAAAGATGTCACATCACAAAGTTTGTCTTATGAACAAAGTTATTGAAAAATGTTGTATAAAATTGCATTCAGGCTATGGATATACGTATATGTGTATATATGTAATAGACACATTTTGTGTTTTGACTTGGGTCCAGTCTCCAACCCCCAGCATATCTCATTTTATGTGTAAATATTAAAAAAAAAAATCCCAAACCCAAAACACTTTTGGTCCCAAGCACTTCAGATAAGGGATATTCGGCCTGTGTTGATTCTGTATTCTTCCATTTCACACATTATCCCTGTTGGATAATCAAATGGTTCATTACTGGGTTACTGGCTTGGGCTTATAGGCAAGTCACTATTTACAATTTATAAACACTGGCTCCAATGATACAGAAATGGGAGAGGGAATCTTTTCCCAGTTGGGCTATTTTTCTTCTAGTCAACTGCACACTTGCAGGAAGCCCATATAGACAAACAGACAGTGGGATGGCCAGACAGATCCTGGAGACACACCCATTCTCCTCTTGGCCCTTAGGACTGCCCAGATTCTTATGCTGGCTCTTTAGAAACAGAAACTAGGTGGGCCTCTCATGCCTGTCCTAAGGCTGCATGCATTCAGATTTTCTGCCCTTCATGCTAAAAACTGTTGACAGCCACATGCCTCAAGGCTCGGAAGGGCAGGCTGAACTAACCATCCCAAGTGCACTCAGTTCCTACCACTGCCAATGGCGCCCTCACTGCCTCTCTATGCCTGGCACAACCACCAAACTCTCTCACTCAGACAAAATGCTATTTGCCCTAAATATTGTGAGAGAAGCAGCTCCCTTAAATGGGACATAGATTCCAAATATTCCCAAAGGGAAATGGTGCCCAAGTCAAAGCCACACCTATAGGTATAGAAGGAACCATAGAAGACTGGATGGATCTCTGAGAATCTCCTTTGCTTTCTACTAGAAAAAATGCAATACCCAAAGCAAAGCTCACCCTTGCCACCTGAGTGTGCTCTTTCCCCCATTTCTGACGCCTCCCAGCAATATTCAAAGTGCATATTTCTCTGCTGATTCCCATATGATCCAAATCTCATCATCAGCTGGTATGAAAAGAGGGAAAGAGAGCTTGCTTGCATATGAAGTGAGAGGGCAATCTGCCTTTGGGCCCAATTTACCCACCTTGATGATGCTTGGGGTAGGAGAAGATAGTGTATAGGGTTCCGTGGGTGATGTTATCACAGAGCTGGTGCTATTGGGTGAGTAATCTGAAACATTTACAGGTGGCTTCAAGGTCATCTCTGAAGTCGACACATTTTCTGGGGTGGTGAACACTGTGGTGGCTACAGAGGTCTGTGGCTGGACAGAAGAGTTTGTGGTTTCGGGGACTCGGGTGACCCTAGAAGTAGATGTCCAGCTGTCCGTAGCCTCTGGAATACACCAAAACTCAAATGTTCATGTGTGCACAGGCACATATATACAAATGAACACACACAACCTCAGCTCATGACATGGACAGGGATTTTTACATAGAAACAGGAGCTTGGGGAGGTACTGTTATTTCATCTCCTTATCTCGACCAAACTCATTCCAAGCCATTGTTGGAACCATAGTTATAACCTAGCATGTGTTTGAGGTGCCCTCCGGATTCTGAAAGTGAATTACATGCTGCCTTAGAGAAGCCGAAGTTGCCCAAGATGAACCTAGAGCCCTTCAAAGAGACCATGATCTATGCTCTATGCAGTCCTCATCTGATCTTTATTACCAGCTGAACTCAGCATGAGAGGAGCATTCAGGGAGCAACACTCCTCAGGAGCAGCTGTCAATTCATTGACCTGAGAAAGATGTCATCATTGGAAGAATTATCTAGAACCTATGTCAGAGTACCCTAAGCAAGATGCCCAAAGTACTAATGCAAGGGTTAGTTTGATTCTATCTGTGGCAGAGGACATGGTCTGCAAACATTCTATCTGCTTTATAAAAGTACCAGCAGCATTGCTTGAGGAACTTGGACAAATTCTTTACCTGAGATGACTGATGTGGTCTCACTGCTGTTCTGAACGTCAGGATGGAAACTGTTATTTCCGTGGATGCTTTGTGTTATGTTTTCCTGCTTGGGTACACTTGTTGAAACACTTTCAGGAGACATACTCGTGGAGGGTGATTCTGGGGTAACAATAGTCATGTTCTCCATATTTGTGAACCCAGAGGCTATAGGGAAACAAGGAGGAAAAGTCAGAACCTTTCTGGAGCATCATGACATCTCCTGACACAGTTTCTTAGCTTCAAGCAGAAACTTTTTGGAATATCCCCTTCTGCCCCTGGCAATGAAACAGCAGTAAATCCTCCTGGACAGTGGACTAATTTCCTATTACTAGATTTTTCCAGAGCAAACGGAGAAATAAAAATTTATATGCACCCAAGTGTCTAAGGTAGTACTAACTGTAGGAGGGAAAAGTTGCAAGCATCAAAATGAATTATAATAAGATAAATGGCATATACACTTAATATACTACAGTCACTACACAATCATATACATAATTTTCCCAAATAAAAATTTATAAATTCCAAGCAGCAATGTGAAAATATGAGGTAGTGTTCATCAGTGTTCAGTAAAATATTAAAATACAAAATTACACCTGAGATATATGAGATACACACACATACATATATGGCAGAGATAAAAAAAAAAATCTAAGGGAAGACAAGTTTCTATTTCCTCTTTGATGTATCCTTCTCTTTTTTGGTCATTCCCCATCTGACATATTAACTCTTGGAATAATCACACTATCACTATGTAATCTCCTTTAAAAAAAAATCTTCTTGGTCTTTCTCATTCCCAAAACCCCCTCATCTTTTCCCTTGTGACCTTCTAATACATTCTCCTTTCCTTTCATTTAGGAACTCAGTTGCAGCAAGAACTCCAAGATTTCTTTTTTAAGAGGCTCTAACCTAAAAATTCCTAATGGACCAGAGAACACAAAGCCTGGTTCCTTATTAAGTGTAATGGGCGGGGTGGGGGGGGTGCTACATTCTGGCTCCACCAAGAACTAACTATGTGACTTCACATGTGTATGTACCTCAGTTTACTTACCTCTTAAGTGAGGGTCTTTTCTGTCTACCTTACGTGAAAAAATCAATGATATAACAAGTGATAAATTACTTTAGTTGAATGTTCCTGAATCTAATCATTCTCTGAAGATCTTTGCAAGTGTCCTTGCCCCTCATTTCCATATATTCTGCATACCAAGTGGTACCATCTATAGATTAGGGAAGGAAAAGGCTTCCACCTGGACCTTGGACCTTCTGTGTCTCCTGTGAGGACTGACTGGCATGTACTCTCTCTTCTAGATTGCACTTTGAGGACCAGAAGTTCTTTGACTTCTTGTTCAAATGATTCTTTTCTCACATCTGAGATCTGCATGGACTTTTCCCCAGCCCATCTTTTTAAGGGTGAACTGCAGCACTAGGAGGTGTAAGGCCAAGGCCCACTGGTAATCAAGTGCTGGCCACTTGCAGGGTATAGGTGGGGTGATCCATGCATCCGTGCAAGAATCCCCCAGAGCGTGGGCCCAAGTCATAGGGAAGAAGAGAAGAGAATTAGGCTGGGGTGAGGGTCCATCTCTTCCTGATAAGGCAAATTGTGTACTGAATTTCAAGAGCGTGGGAATCCCAAATTCAAACCTGGCCTTCCAAGTAGCCATGAAGGTTATGTTTGTCAAGTTAACAAAGATAAAAGATATTTTATTTACCAGTTAGTTGACCTGCTTTAAAACTGTGAAGTTATAAATGTAGACATACAGAACGTGGGCCTCTGTTGTACTCTGGCCTTGGGCTCTGTAAATGTTAGAGGTCGACTTAGTATCAATAGTTCACACTTGCAGTACCATCCTCAAGAAAATGCCTCTGAGGATCCCAAGACACCCTAAAGCTTGTCTCCAAATTTTCCTGCTTAAGATCTAGGTCTGTTTTTCAGAGGTTTACAGGTAAACAGCACTGTAGAATGAAACCTCTTGATCCCTCGGCATCAAGAAAGAAGTCAGACTTTTAGCTTCAAGTCAATTAACCTGAGGCCAAGGAGGCTTCCCCTAAAGGTGGTGACCAGGGTCTCACTCTACCACATCTGCCTTCCTCCCCAGCAGGCTGCAAGTAGATTAATATCAACAGCAAATGTATAGTCACTTTTTTTTCTCTTAGGTGATAGGAAAGCAGGCAGAAGATGAAATATTACTATCTCAATTTTAGAGATAAAGAACATAAATTACCAAGGTGTTGACCAAGAGGCAAGATCATAGATGATGTAGGGCAAGTAGTGACAGACACTGGTGTTCAGCTGACTCCTGCAACATGTTGTAAGGTGGTCAGGCTGGGTTTAAACTACTAAGGGCCCAAATGCATTCTTCACACTTCTGGAGAAACAAGGATGGGTGAGTTCTTATCTGGCTTAGATGGGAGGTGGGTTGATCAAAATAAAATAGATGTGAAAGTCAATTCACGCTACTTCCTTTTTTAGATAGGACCCCCTCACTAATCTGACTCTAGGACATGAATTCATTATAGGGAGCAGGTGTTGGTGACATTAGGACACTGAAGTAAAAGATCATGCTCAAGGCACCATTCCAAGGCACCCCTGGAATCTCCCCTTGACACCCTCTTTTTGCCCACACCCTCCCTTCTCTGTTCAAACACGTCAATTCCTGGGAATCTCATCTGGTCCAGCCTGGTCCAGCCCTTTTCCCTCTCCAAAGGAAGCAAGGCTTGGTAGAAATGATGTCATGCTTTTGAACCCCCTCCCCCAAGGGGCCTCCTTCACCCAGAAAAACACTTTTGAACTTTTCCAGATGTGAACAGAGACCTGCTGCTAGTTCTGAAGACAGAGGTGTCTGTTCCAGAATAGTGAAGCAACTCTGGACCTAGGCCAGCTACTGACCCGCGGGGGACGGGCTCCCAGCTGCAGCAGCCTCCTCCTCCCACTGTTTGGTTAAGCATGGAGGAAGGTACTATAATCTGTTTGCAAATGAGAAGGGGACCCTAACGTCACATTCATGGCTGTGAGCCGAGGGTGAGCAGAGAACCTTCTGAAACACTAGAGACGTAGACAAAGGAAGGGCAGAAAGGCAAGGCTAAGGGACGGGCTCTGTATAAACTGGCACAAAGCAAGGAGACCTTATGGCCAGGGAGCCAATCCTGACCTGGCTACTATCACTTAGGTCACTCAGTTGAGTCCCTGGGCTTCAGTCTCCAGGGCTCCCTTTAAAAGTTCACCAAAGAGACCGGGTCTTGAAGGAATGACAGACAAAGAGTCAAGATTGACTGCAGGCTTCTTTTTATTCTCTTCCCCTTCACATCCATGGCCTGAAACCATCAAACACTGGCCTTTCTTTTTCTGAGCTTCTGACCTGCGGCTCTGTAGGGGACTAACAGCAGCCTACAGTCAGTGGGAATCTGTCAGACGCTGAGAGACAATTGATGAAACCTCCACTGTGGTCCATTCTAGACAAGAGGAACAGCCCTTGACCTCATCCCTGCAGAGAACTGTAGTTCAACTTAAAACTGAATAAAAGGCCACCTTCTGTTGTTTACTTCTCAGCCCATCCTTATTAACCGCACCACTGTAAGGGCTATCTGACCTTAGTTGTCCTATAGGATCTTGATGCACAAACTTGGAGCCAGGGAAGAAACAAGGTGTCAGGAAGTTAACAAATGAGAAGGATAAGAAGTCAAATAGATGTCACAGAATTCATGTAGCAAAATTCACACAATTGAACTTATAGGTATTTATATAGAAGCAATTTTTCTTGTTGGACATGCAATTTTAAAATACTTGGTTATTTGCTATCTTAGCCAAAGCTGACAATTAGAAAGAAACTATTAGAAGCAAATAAGAAGCAGCAGCAGCCGAAAACTAAGAAACTAAAATAAATGAAAAGCATACATGGGTACCAAACCTGCACTAGTCGGGTATCATTTATGAGGAGTAAATAGATACACACCTTCATAAGCATTAACAATGTCACTGAGTTGCAACAGAGCTACGTTATTTTCATGATCCATCTGAGTCATGAAGGTTGAAAGTCCTTTTATCTGGGGGTGTACTCTGAAGAAGCAGAGGAACTCGCAATGCATTTGAAAATACTTCCACCTACAATTAGTATGTTGAAGATTCTTTTGGTCATGAAAGGAGGTTTACAAATTCTCAGAGCTCCAGGAAGCTGCTATAAGTAAATTCCCATACTTGAAGAGACTGAGGTTTTCTATACTTGGTCTTACTTTTCATAGGTCTCTCATAATTTTTTTTTTAACCATGCTGTTTCTTGGGCAGCTGACAGCCAGCCCCAATCTGCCCACTTGCTAGCTTCCAGCCCAAGTGAAGCATTTTGAAGGAGTTCCTGGGTATCTTGGTGGAAAGCACATGTCCTCAGACAGGACAGGTTGGAGCCCACAGCCTCATAAATAGTCTTATTTTAACTCTCCAAACCTTTCCTATAAAATGGGGATTAAAAACAAACCCTACCTCCTGGTCATTTTGAGGAACAAAGGAGGTCACCAAGTGTACAGCATTTGCCTGTCTGGTAGTTGTTTAAAAGCCAGCAGCTGTCGTTATGATAAGCCCCTTCCTTCTGCTCCCCAGAGAGCAGAAGGCTTATCTCTATCACTCATCTGGCACAAAATCACATATGCTGTTTCCTCAAGATAGGTCTAACTGTCACCTCAGTTAGACTACAAATATCTTGAGTGGTGGGGCCATTCTTATACTTGTGTGTTTTACCCATGGCACTGAGGATAATCCTGGGATGTCAGGAGAAGCAGTAGGGTCGAATAGCTGTGTTGGATATGTTCATACCTACAGCTTCTACTACGGCAGTCTCATTCTGATGCTTGGTTTTAAGAGGAAATATATTAAATTAGGGAGTGTCCACATAAAGACAACCAGGATTAGATTTCTAGAAATCAAGTCACACTGTTGAAGACCTAGCATTATTTCATTTAGATCAGGGCTTGGCAAACTATCGCTGGCGGAACAAATCTGGCCCAGGGACTGATTTTGTATGGCCAGTGAGTCAAGCATGGCTTTTACATTTCTAAGTGTCATAAAATAATACAAAGTAAAGATGTGCATGAGAAACCCTGTAGAGCTCCCCAAACCTTAAATATTTACTATCCAGGTCTATACAGGAAAAGTTTGCTGACCCTTAATCTGAAAAAGAAGAATCTGAGAAGGGAGAATAAATGACTTATTTCAAGATTCATTTCACTTAAACAGTATATGCACATTTTCCCCCCTGAAGCACCAATGATGTGAAAAGGGTCTTGCTCAGTTCTATAGAGAGCACAATATAAGCCAGTTTGATTCCTTCCCTCCATTAGGCATTAGTGTCAATGTAATTTAAATAAATCCCTCAAGGATTCCACAATCTAGGGGGGCTGACTAAAATGGTCTTTAGGGATTTTCATGAAGAACCAGATTAAACCTATGACAATCAAAAAAAAAATTACTATAGTGATTAGAAGTTACAGTAAAGCTAATTTCACTGCAATACAAGGAGAAAACTTAATGTAGGTTGTTTTTTTGTTTTGTTTTGTTTTGTTTTTTTTAAACGAGATGAGCTACTTTGTGGGATAAGTAAGCCCCTCATGTTTCCTGGAAGCATTCAGGAAACATCCTTGTTAGGGGTCCCTGCCAACCCTCTGATCTACCATGAGTTGGAAACATACTAAACTAGAACAAAGGGCTGGGCTGATGTCTTCCTAAGGGAAAGCTGAGATGCAGGCATAAACCAGGTAAGAGTCTGCGGCCTGATCATCCCCAGTGTACTGAGATTTTTCTTTTATAGTCATATAGCTTGTCTTGACCCCATCCATTTACTTTGGAACCTCAACAGCCTCAGGATCCTTGGGTTGCCTACATTTCTTCCACTCATGTCTTTCTGTTTTCCTAGCTCCTGTGACCCTTGGATTGCAGCTCCATATCTTATTGTACTCACTATTACACTACTTCAACATACGCTAGCCAAGCACCCATTCCTTTAGTCTTTGCAGAGAACCACTCACACAAGACCAGTAGGCAAAAAAAATGATTTTTACTGAAGGTTTGAGAGAGTGGAGCAAGATTACAGGGCATCCTAGGAAAGATGACGGTATAACCTTGAAACATCATATCTTACCATGCTAATGACGTCATACTACAAGGAATCTTCTTAGCCAGGTCTTTTCCACCCTCCACCCATCACTGTTCCTCTCTTGCTGCAGGTAGGTCCCCTCTCCCTGGGCTCTGGAGCCCTCTAGCCTTTGTCTCTTGAGACTACCCAAACCCAAAGCCCAGTTTATCATACTTAGCAAGCCTGTCTCCTGTCTGCCCTTGCACATCCAGGGTTTGTCTAGGTTGTTGGCTTTCTCACCCAAAGATCCAATTAACACATTTTCTTTAACAATGGAGCACCGATATCTAGAGATGCCACTTCCCTAAGGGGTATCTGTTTTTATTTCATTTTATTTTTTTTCCAAATCAGGAAGGAACAGACCTCCTAATTAAGCCAAAAGGCTTTTCCCCTTGCACCTGAAGGGAAGTGATTCATTCCCTGATGGGGCCCACAGTGCGGGTCCAGTGAAGTACACCTTGTCATGTCTCTCTATTTGATCTCCGCCTTCCCAAAATGCATGCATCTTTTGCCTTATAGCACAAAAATCAGGGCCCTTTAGACAAAATATTGTAGAGAATGTGTTTTCATTTGTTAGCTAGAGGGAAGAAAATGTTCTCATTAGAGAAGCTGAAGCCCAAAAAAATATGGAAATTCTGCCCTGGCAACCATGAGAAGTTTCTATTGGAGGGTGGAGTTTTGTTCTTTTCCCATACCTTCATGCTTCCTGTTCTCCACACCACAGGACTTTTAGTTAGATCAACTGAAGTCCATGAGAGAGAGAGGCCCAAGTGCCCTGAGGGTGGAGCTGGGTAATCATCCAACCCTGAATGTAAGCCCAGGCCTTTGAGCCCAGGGTCTAAAGGAAATAAGGCAATGAGACCGTAAGAGAGGAATTTGTTCCTCCTTATTATTTGTTTTTGTAGGACTCTGTGCCTGGGTTTATCTGCTGCAGTTTGGCACTTCTTGCCCTGAGCATTTGGAGACAAAGACTCAGGAAAGGAAGGAGATGAGGAGGCCCAGGAGGTGGAGCCAAAGGGATAAGAAAAGGGCCCAAGGCCCTAGCAAGTGCTATCAGCCAAACAGGAATGCCGTGAAGTCCAGGATTTGCAAAGGTTGTGCAGACTGGGCTGGCCCTACAAGGGGGAGCACTGGGGACCACTGACTTAGTCAGAGGTCCCCAAGGCTACTCCTTCTCATCGCCATGTGGCAGAGAGTCAAAGGGTGGAGTCCGCTCCCCTCTGGAAAATATCTGATAAAATTCTTTTCCCTTTTCTTTTTCCCCTCTTACATGTAGCCCCAGACAGGATATGGGTGTGAGGTCCACAGGCACGAAGGACCCAAAGAAAGAAAAGGAATGTGACCTATTCCGGCAGGACTGGGGGTGTTGTCAGGGTGAGGGGAGTTATAGACTTTGAAGGAAAAAGAGACCCTAAGCCTGAAAAAAAAAAAGAAAGAAAAGAAAAAGGATCCCTAATTAATTACTGAAAGGCTTCCCACCGGGCTGGTAGCTAAGCTGTGCTGCCCAGGGGTCCCTAACCCACCCTCTGCAAAGAGAGCCCATTTGTGGTTAGCTGCTATGCCTGTGTCCATGCCAATCTCACAGGCATAGAGCTCCTGAGACCAAGTTCTTCATTGGGATAGTAATGAGACATCACAGAACTCCACACTAAATTTCTCAGTAATAATTACTCTTTTTTTTTTTTTTTTTTTGCAATGGCCCATTGGTAGCATTTCAACTTATAGTCACTCATTTCATTTATCCTACAATATACCCAGGACAGAAAATAACTCCTAATATTAAAAAAAAAAAAAAATCTAAACAGAAACCCTAGAGAGGTCTTGGGGAAAGCATTAAGTCCAAGTAGTAGACTATTCTTCAGTCCAAAGCTGAGATGCTGAACTTCCCAGCACATCTGTCAGAGGTTTTGCAGCAGTTGCACTACATCCCCCCCGAGCCCTCCTCTGCAGGCCAAGGCAAGAATGATACTAGCCAGCTGAGGAAATAAAAAAGGGTGGGCCTCCCTTAGCCCAGGCCCAGGTCAGCATGAGCTATGCGGCCAAAAGAAAGTGCAGCATCTGATGGGAATCTGAGCCATTGGTCAACTCACCCCTGCTATGAGGGAACAGTGTAGCACCCATTCTAGGGTTTCAAAACCTCACCAACAGCTTTATCCCTGTCTAAAGAGCGTGTCCAAGGTTTCCAAACACTCAACCCAGAACCTAACTCGGCCTCCTCCAAGCCAAGCCAGCTCTCTCCAACTGGGTGGACCCAAACAGGGATAGTAGAGGAGACTGGGAGCAAAGAGGCCCAGCAAGCAGATCTACTTTGCAGGGCCACCCAAGGTGGGTGGTCTTTAGCATGTAGTGAGTTGGGAACTGGGAGCCCTAGAGAGTTGTTTAATAAAGGGAGAGCGACTTACAAAGTTTCAAACCTCTAAGTGAGATGACATGGAAAGGTTATTTCCCCAATGAAAACAATTAATTATGTTTAGTGAGTACCTACTATTTTTTTCCAAAGTGAGAGCAAGAGCTTCAGAGTGTGTGGGGGTGAGCAAGGAGTGTCCTGACCTGTCTGCTAGCTTTAGAACTTGGAGGCGAGCAATAAATACTTTGAGTTTGTGCAGGGGTGAGGAATTGTGAAGAGAGGGAGGCAGGGAGCCCTCGATAGGATCCCGGCTGTATCTGGAGGGGTAATTCTAATTTTGCTTTCCAATCTTTAATGCAAGATCACCCCCCTCCCCCATCCTCAAGGGCTGTTCATTCCAAACGCCTCTGCTCACCCAACTCGGCTTTCCTCTAGGACTCCCAGGACCCTGCACCTCACCCCCTGTTGGCTTCCCTTGAATTCCTTAATGCCCATTGTGGATCCCCGGTCTTAGTAGACTGTGGGCGCCGGGGCCCTTCCCACCAACCCGCTCCGGGACGCTGCTTTCTGAATCAACCAACAGCCGCACAACTTTCCGGCTTCCCTCCTCCCCCTTCTCCTGGCTCCCGCTCCAACTTTGCGCTCCGCACCTTTGGCAACGCCGAGACGTTGGCATCTCCAAAGCGCTTTATTTTAGTCCATTTCAGCGAGCCGTGTTGTCCGGCTCACACCTCGGGTAAATTTACATTCCCGTGGTGTCTTTCCCCTCCCACCGCCACCGAGTCCCAGGTGAAACGCTGGTCCCTCCTGAGCAACGGTGGGCGACAGTGCGCGGGTGGGGCAGGGGTCCCTTCCCTTCGCGCAGCTCTGTTTGTGGCTCAGCCCAGCAGCCGCTCGACCCTCCCCGCTAGGAAGGCGCCCCGGCGCGGCGCGCGATCGGTACTCACGCAGCAAACTCAGCAAGCAGAGCGCGGTCCAGCCCCGCGGCATCCCGGGCCCCGCGCGCGCGCTCCTGCGGCCCAGCATCCTTCCCGCGTCGCTCCCGAAGAGATGCACAGAGTGGAAGACACTGCTGGGCCCGGCCGGGACGCGCTCCTCCCGCCCCCTCCGCCCGGAGGGGGTGGGGGATTCTTGCTTTTTTTCCCCTCCTCCCTCTTTAGTCTTGGCAAGGCCGGCCCCTCGCCTTGGCTGCCACTAAAGTGAGCTTCCCTGGTTAGTCCCAAAGGCCGAGGACGTGAGTCCAAAAAGGTGGAGGGTTGCGTGGCCCCAGACGTCTTGTTCAGCTTTCTGAAGAGGCCTGATCCTGATTCTAGACTTCAAGCTGCACTTGCACTTAACTGTTAACCCTCTGTGTCAGCCTTGCTGGTGGCCAGGATAGAGGCAAGTATCTTCTGACCCCTGCCCCCCTCCTTTCCTTTGTGTTTTTCTTCATTTTAAAGTGTCAAGCCCAGAACAATCTGTGGAAGGAATCTGCTGTTACAGCCTGCGTTTACAAGTGTGATCATTTTGCCAATCAGGTAAAATGCACCACATGTTCAATCCGACACATTTAATGATAGACACAGTAGATACTGTGTTGCATGTTAATGAAGAATTTAAAAAGGGCAGGACACGTAAATTACTATAATTACACATTTTGGCAGTTCAATGTATCCTTGTAGACTTTTTCTCTCACCCCCTCCCCCAGATCTATAGTATTTGTGCTATTTTGAGGGATATTTTTTCCCCTATGACCATCCATATTTTGCCACTTAGTTTGATGGTAACAGTTACCATCATCATGAAGACAAAAGACCCCCATCCCCAACACCTGGAATGCCTTCTGCCCAGTCACTGTTCTTTAGTCCTGAGTCTAAGTCTCTAGGGGCTTCACTTGGTTATACCTTCAGAAGAACTTCCAGTGATTCTACCCTCCACCACCTTATTCATTCCCAAGCTTTCTGTTCCCAACAAGTTGTTCTGGGTGTTGGTGAATTGAACTGCAGAAACTTGCATCTGGGCAGTCAGCCTTGCTATGAATTGGGGTAGGAGAGACAGGAGGAGAGAGGAGATGGCTGGGCAGATGACCCTGGCAGGGATTGAGATAAGGCATAGTCTGGGGGAACACGTTCTGAGATCCTGAGTCACAGGACTGCAAATACTCAGTCCAGTCTCTTCCATGATGGCTGAGTCTCTTGCCTAACGGGGACAAAAGGAAGGTTAGAGCAGGACCTTGGAATCCCTTCTGATATACTTCTCTACAGATACCATAGGATTATTGGGGTTACACAGCAGAAGGGCGTCTTTCTAAAAAGACCCCAAATCTTATTCTGATCTTAGTATCTTTAAGTAGTGAAATGAATAGTGAATGAAGGGACTGGGGTTGTGGCTCAGTGGTAGCGTGCTTGCCTAGCATGCATGAGGCACTGGGTTCAATTCTCAGCACCCCATACAAATAAATAAAATAAAGGTCCATCAACAACTTAGAAACATTTTAAAAAATAGTGAATGAAGCTTTTCATCTCATGATAAAAGCTTAATATGCTTCATATACAGATTTGATTGAACACTGTATAAGGGTACAGTATGATTTTGTTTCAGGGCAAATGGTGATTCAAATCTGACCACATTGTTATCAAGGGCCTGCAGCTGGGGACAAAAAGGGCTGCAAAATGCATTTTAAAATACATTTAAAATCAGGTATTGGTCCTTGGGACTCCTAACTAACAAGGAAAATACCACATCTTCCCCTCCCTTCAAATGCCTTAGCTTCAGGAGATGGGTCTGCTTCAGGTACCCAATATGAAGTTGTGAATGAAATGTGGGATGGTATTTCCTGCTAGAAAAGGAAACACATGTGGTCGACTTGGCTCTAACTTTACTCCCAGAAATTTCTTCAGGTTAATTCCAAGTGCCATTTGTCTTCCATAGCTGGACCATGAGAAATGAGAAACTTACCTCTCTACCTCTAGAATCTTAACTAGCTTGGGAGGAGAGAGAGAGAGAAGGAGGGAGGGGAGAGAGGAAGAGAGAGAAAAAAGAGGGGAGAGAGAGAGAGAGAGAGAGAGAGAGAGAAGAAGAAGAAGAAGAAGAAGAAGAAGAAGAAGAAGAAGAAGAAGAAGAAGAGGAGGAGGAGGAGAAGAGAAGAGAAGAGAAGAGAAGAGAAGAGAAAGAATTATTTTGTGAAGCAGAGTTTCTTGAAGCATTATCTACCCAGAATCAGAATCAAGGGTAAGGGCCAAGAATCTGTACTTTTAATAAGTACTTTCTATGATTTTTTTTGCACACTGGTTCAAGAAGCCCTAGTGTGGAAAGAAGACACTCCAGGTACAATGGAATGAGGACAAATGGATGTCAGGCATCAAGGGAAAATAAAAGTGGGAGGCTGGCAATTCCATTGTTTTGAGACTGGCGCAGTATCTTTTCTGGCCAGCAGAGCTATAGATGCACCAGAACTATGAAGCTAGGTGATGACTGGTCACTCCATATGCTTTCCAGGTCACTGGGACTCATCATTCCAACTTACACACCCTTGCCCCAGCCACCCACAAGCACAGGTTCTGGCCACATAGGGGCCACTCTATGGCTTCAGCCTTGTGTTTCCTCACAGGCCAGACAGTTGAGGTAAGTCTCTTCAAAGCTTTAGTCTTTATGGCTTGGCTCTCAGAATCTCTGCTTCCCTAAGCTGTTGCTAGAAGAGGATTCCAATTATACCACCCAGAGTGGAGACAGCAACAAAAATATCCTGAGTGAGAGGCTCTATCAGGTCCTTTATAGATCTTTGTAGGTAATGACTACTCTTACTCTTGAACATATCCTATCCCCAAACACATACACGCTTCTTGCTAAATTAAAAATAGGCCCTCATCCCTTGTTAAATGTAACGACTTTGACGTAAAAAATAAGGTAAATATCAGTTTATTTTCTGTTGCTATAATAAAATACCTGAGACTGGATCATTTGTAAAGAACAATTGGCTCCTGGAGACTGGTTGTTCCAAGAGCACCTGATTCTACTGGCATCTGGTGAGGATATTCTAGTTGCATCATAACACAGTGAGAGCATCACATGGCAAGACAGAGCAAGTGAGCCAGAGAAAGTTCCTGTTTATAACAAAACCATTCCCTCAACAACCTACGAACCCATAAATGGATTAATTCATCCATAAGGACAGAGCTCTTATGAGCCTCCCAAAGGTCCTGCCTCCAAATACCGTGTACATATGAATTTGGATACTAGGTTTCCAACACATGAAAAATGAAGGATGCATTCAAACTACAGAGGTAAATGGCTTTGACAATCCTGAGTTTAAAAATATATTCTTCATTTTGTTCTTGGAATCTAAACTATTACACTTACATGGAACTATTAAAGAGTTTGGAGTTTAAAGTTTAAAAGTCGAGGAAGTTTACCTTTTGTAGGTAAGCATTTAATAAAAACAATTGTTAATTCTGATTTTTCTAGTTTCATATTTTGGAACAAGACTTTTCTCACATGTTGCATGCTTTCTCTGTGGGTCTTTGAAAGTGCTCAGGGTTTGGTCCCTGTATGGCAGGGAGGGGTGCCTGGTAGTGGAGGTGTTCTGATGCTGGAGAGAAGCAATGAGAACCTGTGTCCTTGAGAAAGTCCCTTTCTTTCTCTTTCTGCCTTCCATTCTCCTGCATCTTTTGGCAGAACCAAACTGGAAACCAGCTGACAAAGGAGGTTAAGAAATGTACATGCTGATTCTCAGCCCCTGTGTCCTGTGGGAAATTACTTTGATACAGTGGCTGCCTCTATGATGGGCAGATTATTCCAGAGGTCACTGACCAGGAAGACTCAAACCAAATTATGATGATCAAATCACAAAAGTTTTTGAATCTATTTAAAATATAGAGCCCGATCCAAGGGGCAGGAGTTGGGGTAGGTTGACACGCTTGGGGTAGTATACAAACAGGGTGAATGGAATATACTATCTGAGTCTTGTGTTTTATTCCAGGGTAATTATGAGAACCAGAATTGAGATTAAGTAAGAGAGCAAATGGTAGATGCTCGGGGACTCATACCTATTTGCTTCATTGTGAGGTGCAAGAGCAGACAGGTCTGACCTCTGGTCTTTGTATACTCCATCAATGTTCTGGACAGCCATCTTTTGTGTCAGCATTTCTGCAACAGAGCATATAGGCCCCAGAATGGTGTCACTAATAGGTAGACAATTTAGTAATGGCTTTCAGCTCACAGGTGGCATGATCTATACCTTGTGAGTTATTACTTTTTTTTCTATCCCTCTCTATCTGCAAGTAACACTCCAGTTTGTTTCGTTTATTCTATTTTTACATGCCTTGGAGGTTACTAATATTTTAGTACATCTTCTGAATTCTGCGTACCTCTCACAAGTTACTTGTTTGCTTATCCCCTGTAGTTAATACATCTGAGGAGCTCTACCCATCTCACTTGCTGTCCTTGTCCTTTGTAGTGGAATTGAATACCTCACCTAATAGAACAGCTCTACATTGTACCCCAACATTATACAGAGGAATATAGAAGTGTGAGACTGGGTCTTAGAAACACAGGGTAGGTAACTGGGAAAAAATCCAGTTTCACTTATTTTTCATACAGATAACGGTTTTCCTATTCCCAAGTGGTCTCTTCCCTCACAGATGATCTGACCTGACATTTTGGTCATGTGTTGGCATTTGACATAATTGTGGGTCTAGTTCCGGGCTCTCTGTCTGTTGGTTAGCATACATCTCAATGCCTTTGCTATCTCCTTTACTGTGACTTTCATTAAGTCCTGATATCTGTAGGACAATTATTTCCCTCCTTAATTTTCCTTAGAAGTACCCTATTCTTGGCTAGTCTTGGCTCTTGATCTCCCCACATACATAGCAATACTTTGATCACTGTTTATCAGATTCCTTTCCAAAACAGGCTTTTTTGGATTTTGACCAAAATTGCCCCACTGATTAATTTGGAGAAAACTGAATGTTTTATTCAGCAGTCATGTTGTATATCACCATTGTTTGAATCTTTGTGGCAGTTTAAGATTTTCCCTGTAGTGGGTTTTAGTTTATCTTTTGTTAGATTTATTCCTAGGTAATTGATGCCCTCTAAGGCTACTGTAAATAGTTTCTCCTTTTTAATTATTTTTGTTCCTGATGTATGAAAATGCAATTCATTGTTTTATATTAATCTTGTATTAAACTTGTTTGTTAAATTCTCCTATTATTTCTAATTATTTCTAGATTCTTTTCGGTTTTCTATGTAAATGATCATATCAGTGCAAATAGTGATAATGTTATGTTTTCTTTCCAATCTTCTGCCTCTGATTTGATTTGCTCAAGTTAATGTACTGGCAAGAACATCTAGGGATGAAATATGTG